CCACAATCTAATTGCCAAGCGGAGAGATTTGTAGATACACCCAAACAGGCTCTCCTCAAATCTAGGAGGGAGAGAGACACAATGGACGTGGTCGACCGATTCCTCCTTCAGTACTGATTCACACAAAATCCACAAAGGCCGAATAGATTATCACCAGCAGAGGCAATGATGAAGAGAAAGATCCGCACGCTATTTGATGCAGTTCGGCCGTCCTCAGGACCCACATCCGGTGAAATGCACCTAAAGATGGCAAGTTGTTCCAATCGGTGGTATGGTGCCAAGCGATGGTCGTTTAAACTTGGTCAGTCGGTACTTGTACGTGATTACCGGGAGGAACACGCAAAGTGGACACCAGGCACAATCAAGGGTAAGCGCGGGAAAGTCATTTACGACGTGCTGGTTGGAACTCAGTTATGGGTACGGCGTGTAAACCAGCTGCGACCAACACTGTGCCAGCTACATGCAACAGAATCTGCCGAGCTCTCATTTGCTCTGTTGGCGGACAACTTCAATTAATTTTCGGTAGAGGAATGATACCACATCGCCGAGCACGGAACCCGAATCCAGAATACTTCAGCCAAGGGGATGGACTGATAAGTGTAAACGACCGCCCATAAGGCTTCAGCTTAACCCCAGACCATCATTATACAGAGCTGCGGCCGTCTCAGAAGAGGAGGTATCCAGGATAAGGTAAAAACATCAAGGAAAACCAATTATTTCAGCAAGTAATCGCGTAAATTCGACTGTGCATTGATTTCGAAGATTCCGGAACCCACAGTTCCTTCACGTGACCGCCAACATACGGAGGGTTGGCATTGAAGCTATTATAGAAGCAAATGTTGGTAGCTCAGGTTGTTCAGTTGGTGGTTTGATTGTTCGCTGAGCTCGGCAGTTTGACTGCAAACGTTTCCTCACCACTGGAGGTGACATCGTCAGTGGGCGTTTATTTAGCAGAGCGGCGCGCACTGACGATATCACCTCGAGTGGTGACAAAACGATTGCAGTCAAACTGCCGAGCTCAGCGAACACTCAGACCACCGATTGAAGCTATTAATTTTGCTAGTTGACTTTGGTTTTCTAGAAGCCGAAGGCCATTAAGCAACCTATGCATTTGATGAACATCTGGGGCAGTTGTACAGTGTTTTGGAGACGTTTTGGTTAACACCTTTTTTCTCGATCAAGGTCGTTAGACTTCTGTTTTTCCTTCGCTGGGCGAGAAGGGTTGAGAAAAGTTTTGGGTGTTTACTTCGAAATAGCGAGAAAACTTGATTTACCAATTACTTACCTGATGCATTCACTATGTTATTTTTTGAATGAGTTACACCATAAAACCGTACTTGGGGTCTCCGGAAAAGCAGTAACTTAACCAAAGCCAAACAACTCATCGCCTCCTCAGCAATATTAGTTCATTATGATCCTAGGAGCTCCACGTTCCTCAAAGTGACGCAACCGGTTGAAGTGTGGGTGCTGTCCTGTGCCACGGCATGCATGAACAATCTTTGCGCTCCACAGCGTTTGCATCATGCACTCTGTAACCAGCGGAAAGAAAATATTCACAGCTAAAAAAGAAAGCACTATCAATAATCTTCGATAGGAGAATGTTTCATCAGTAACTCTGGGGGAGTTATTTTGAACTTCATGCGGACCACGAGGCATTGATCTCCTTGTTATGAAAGATCAAACGTATACAACAAGTGACTTCATCAAGAATGTAGAGATGGGCTTTGACGTCGAGTGCATACAATGGCAAAATTACCTACACTCCTGGTACCAGCAATCGCAAGGCGGATGCCTTAAGCCGTCTACAGTTGCAGGGACGTCACATGAGCCCGATTCTTCCTGTTACTTGGTTCACCCAATGCAACATCTAGACACGCCTACGAAACTCTATAATCCGTCAGTGAAAAGATAGAGACCCAGTTCTTTCAATAATCAAATGATTCTTAGCAGTCGGGCGGCCTGCCGAGGGAGTCGCCGATGTGTAGCCATCTATAGTAAACAAAAATGAGTTGAGATAATTCGATGGTTGTGTGTTCTGGGGTTCCTGGTTGGTGTCTCCTGGCAAAGCTCGTGCACAGCTCCATCACGAGCTCCATGATGCACATCCAGGTGTCTGGAGAATGAAAGCACTGGCGAGGGCTACTGCGGGTGGCAAAGGATAGAATCAGATATAGAGAACATGCTGACGAATCGTGATACCTATCAGGCACACCAGCGCAGTAAACTCCCGGTGTAGTACATCCGTGGCACTGGCCCAACAAGTCGTGGCAACAGATCCACATTGACTACTTCTGTGCAGCTAATGGAACCATGTTTCTGTTACTCATCGACGCCCACTCCAAATGGGTTGTAATGTATTTCGTTTCGCAAGCAATGTCCGAAAAAACCATTGTTAAGATGCGTTCATTAGTCGCTACTTTCGGTATTCCGAAGACCCTATGCACGGATAACGGTCCCCATTTTGTTAGCACGGAATTCAACCGATTCTTCACTAGCAAGGTAATTCAGTATATAAAATCGGCGCCTTATCATCCCACGTCCAATGGGTTGGCAGAGGGGGCGGTGCAAACAATGAAGCGAGTACTGTTGAAACCGCGTGTAGTAACCCCACAAACAATGCTGGATCGGTTTTATTTGTCTATTGTTCCACCTCAGTAAGAGCACGGATGGGTCTCCTGCAGAGCTGATGTTGGGTAGGAAAATCAGGACAAGGCTAAGTCTGCTGTTTACTTATCCACGGGTAGGGATAAAAGAGCGACAAAAGTGAAAAGTGTCTTCGGATGAGCCGAGAAAGGATGTGACTTTTGGGGAAAATGAGTTAGCCTACACTCAATTGCCACAAGAAACACACCGGCAACCTGCCACCGTAATTTGTTCCTTGAGAAGCCAAAACGGCGTCCAAATTCCAGACGACCGGCTTATTAGATGACATATAGACCACGTTTATGCACGGAGCTTAAGCAGGAGCAATCCGAGTTGAGCGTCTACAAACCAGACACTGAGGGCGTACCGTAAGGACAGACAAGCGCAACGCTGCCGAGGCGATCGCCCAGTATTCTCAAGCTAGTGGGTGGCTTTCAGCCGGGATTATGACGACATCTATGGAAGTGAGAGATGTCACATGCACACTCAGATAGATGGACACTACACATTCATGCACGCACGCACGCACACACACCAATCTCATCGTGTCGCCAGTGAATACAGGTTGAGACATCCTTCCAGATGTTGATTACACAGTGATCTGTCCAAACTTGTTTTCTTTCCTTAGGGTTCCGAGCCCTATAGAGCACAGGATTTCTATCGTGTACGTACCAGAATGCTACTTCATGAAGCTTAAATTACAGTGCCATTCCACGTATGAACTGAGTGCAACCCACTCTATAGAATCGAAAGAATTACGAACACGGCTTAAGTCCGTCCATAGACGCCCAACGCTGGTATCAAGCAGGCATCTTCACGCCAAAATCAGTAACCGCTGGTATGTCCAACCTACGGACGGTAGTGAGAGCACACACGAGCGAGAACCGGATGAAAAGCTTTTCTTTGAGAAACGGCGCTGGTTATATAGCCTGACGCACAACAGTAAAAAACAACCAGGGCACGGAAGGAGGACGATGTGACGAAACCGGCAAGGATGGGGCAAATGAGGCGAATGAGATGCACCCAACGAAAGGAAACTGATAGCGTAAGCGTTTGAATGCAACGGTGATTCGCACCCCAAAACAACGACCTTGACAAGTCAATGGGGCCAATGAAATGGCGATTTAACACAAGCATCAATGAATGAGAACAGTAAACAAAAGCCTGCATTTATAAACAGTTACAGAGACACCCTCGAATTATTATCGCTCCTCTAACAGCTTCCTCGTAGCATCTCCGGACCGTTTACCTTTGATTTAAATCAGTCGGTGAACTTGCCAGTTGACGATGCACATCAATCGCAAGTGAGAGGCACGTGCCCATCATCTCAGTCGTGCCATTCATGCGCTGTGTAGGTCAGTAAATTGGATACAGCCAATACACCACTCACACCTCATTAACCAACGCGCCGAAGCGAGTTAACCAGATTGCATTTCACTTAAGGATGCTATTTCCATTGTCCAATCTTATAGTACTTAAATTTCCATGCACAGAGGTAAATAACCACATTTATTTAAGTGGGTTGAAATCAAGAACCGTACAAACAAACATTGGGTATAAACTGGATACAATTAAACAATGAACCTCATGGACAGGACTGTGGTTGGGAGCACCTTCCCTCCGAGTTGTGGAGTTAACCATAGAAGATCACCATCAGCATAGGATTTGCAGGCTGTTACCAGTTATGTAGCCTGTAATGCTACCACTTACTCTAATGTTTTTTATGGAAAGACGTCCGTAAATGCACTTTCAGGTACATAACGACTAAAAGCTGATGTCAATGACCATTTTCGGTTTAAGCTAGACGGGAATTACTAGCCCCATGGCTTATTTTGACTAATGGACACCAATTTATGCGACAGGTGGACCACAAGTCTAAAACGATTTCCCTCTGTTCAACAGGGATGTTACCATATTTGCTCATTAACCGCGCATCCAAACAAGCCGTGTCTACGTTGGTGTTTAGCAAGCCACGCAGCCAAGTGAGCGGTACAGTATGTCATGAACTTCGTAGCGCTGTGTCTACCGCTAAAATCGAAGTGCATCGCGTCTAGTGCTTACTCCTCCTCTCTCACTTTGGCCGGTAATCATTTAACGGAAACTTGCATGCAATGAGCCGACCCGCCCACATGCGTGATAGACAGAAGAACACACGTAGACACGATGTCTACTATTGGTCTCATAAATGCTAGCCATCGATTCTATACCCCTAATACACCCAGATTACAGAGCTCAGACCACCGTTGATTGGATAAGATTGACTATCCCAAACCAGAGTTTGATCATCATCGGCTCCGTGGGCACTATATGAATTGTCTGACGAGCCCAATTTTGGAAAGCAGTAGAGCATTTCCTAAATGAGGATCCGCACACCTCAGCTGAAAATTATTTTGGCTCAGGCGATTTACGACAATGAAGCTGATTTTCCTACGGAACTGTCATTCCAGAAGGGAGACGTCGTTGCTGTACTCAAAAGCGATCCGGAAGGTTATGAAGGCTGGTGGATTTGTAGCTTGGAAGGACGCATAGGGATAGCGCCTGCTAACCGACTTCAAATACTGGGTGTTGTACAAGTGAGTTTAAGTGATTCACGGCTGCTTCATCATGCTCCAACTGAGAGAAGTGGCACCTGTTTATTTCTTAACCGGTCACCAACTGCCGATAGGCATGAAGTTGATGTTAGTTATTCCGCTTCGATCTAGAACAACCAACCTAAATTTAGTTACCCTGGTTCAAGTTGTGCCAACCGTACAACATGGCCATCTGCAGAGCGAATCACTCATTATTTAACTGCGAAGCTTACCAATAAAGCGTCGATGTGTTATCCATCAGATGGTCATAGCCCATTTCTAACCATTCCGCAATCTAGTTACTGCGGTTTCATTCCTATCCCAAGCACTGAAGGCCCGCCTCTGTTCGCGAAGTGAATAGCATAGGAAATTCTTCAGAACTTATCGCCTTTACCTGAAAATTCAGTCAGTTAAAGTTATTTATGTTGCATTTCTGCCACATGCAGCTGCTAGCCAATTGCACCAGTACCATATATCTACTTTCCCGATCAATTAGGAGTCATACACCATGTACACAGATTGTAATGCTACTCTGCACCTCAATGGTATCAAATGTCCGGTTTAGGTATACCAGAAAACCGCAGTCCAACCTGCTACCACGACTGTGGTCACTCTTTCAAGGCCAGTCGGTCGGAGCGTTGTTAAAAAGCAAGGTTAAATCTGCCTCAAAGTACTCACTGCACTTGATGCCTAATGCCGTAAAACTACATGCTCTTACACTCAGATGTCGTTGAGATGCTCAAAGCAAAACCGGAACACAAGAACGGTGGTTGTCTTACGTAGAACTCAGGCGAGTTGAAGCACTGGTCCTTCCTTCTCATTTCTTGACCAGTGGATGAGTCAGAAGAACGAAAGTTTTATTTTGTCAGTCATCGACATCAACGCGTTCGCACATGGCAATGGCCATTCCGACGTGAACTTCGAACACCATGGTATTAACTTATGCGGAAGAATCCAGTTTACTTCGTTTCATTTTACTTGCCAGAACAGCAAATTTGCCATCTTCATAATACCTCAAGCCTGATGTAATAAATGAGCATCATTCAGGTGTTGAAGCGAACTTTCATCATACCCGTGTTTATATGTTGTTGTCAATTATACCAAATAAGTGCTCCCCGTGTTGCGCGATCTCATTACTTTTGATTGCTTGAAGGCTCCAGAGTACGTAAAGGTTCAGCGAACAAGTACTGATTCATCGCAGCCTATAAGTCGTGCTGGTAGCTTCAATTCAAATGCATTCGTATACAGTAACACGGGAGCAAGATTGTGCGCTCGTTCGGAGTACCATACCCATCGTGTATCTTTTGGTTTTAAAAATTCTTACTGCGAGTGATTGAGCTGTAGGTTTATTATTGGGATGTTTCAAGGAAATGGTTCTGATAACTTTTTCATCTTGTTTATTGCGTCAGCGAAACGAACAGAGTTCAGATGAGCACTTATATGATGATCCCACCGAGTGGTTTCGTTTCACCGAAGTGACACATGATGCCATGCAATCCCCTGCCACACCATCTGCACACAGAAGGCCGCCTTCAGAGACAGGAACTAGCTGCACATCCGGACGCACGAATGTTTCAAGCTTTGCTCATGAATTTCGCGACCAATCTGATGTGAATAACAGAAAGATAGACATTCGAAGTCCGATCAACAATCAGCACACCGACGGCTTTGAGGTAAGTCGAATAGGATTGAATCCCCATTGGTCTAGTCGGCCCTTGTACATTCAGTAATTCTGCACGGTATTTAAGATGGTCGTAAGTTAGCAAATGTAATTGCTTCTCAGTGAATCAGAGCCAAACCGGTGGGACCGTACTGATCTTACCCAAATTACCACAGAAGATATCACCAGGCTGAGATGAGAGTCGGTCGACAAGCCGAAACACATTCGGGAATGAATTTGCAAAAACGTTTTCTTACATTCAGAAACTAACCTTTACCGGCTCATGTCTACAGATTACCAGTACCAGATTACCAGATGACAACAGCTACACTGCAGTTCAGGTTTAAAAATTAAAATTCGAAATACTTTATTATGTTGATTTATTTCACATGACTCACAGTACAGTAGTTTAAAGTTGGGGTTCTAGAAACACTTAGAAATTGCAGCCCTTGTGTTTGCTCGGCACCGTTCCCCTTTCTGTGCCAACACTTTCTTAGACCCAGTAAATGTAAGGAGGTATTATGTTGTTCTTCGAGATCGGGGAACAATCTCACACTTACATCCACACCCCGAGTTACACATGTCGCCAATATCTTCCAAATGAATACCACGCTAATCATGCAATATGTTATATCGTACTGGTGTGATAACCACTACAACAGATGTCGGAGTTAGATAGCTCTTACTGTCGTATATCAATCCGTCATCTCGACTGGTGCAGTAGCAGGCACCATCTCCAAAGATGTGCACTAGACATCGATGTAGTTGTTATCAATATTGTTCCACTACAATCAGTTCGACAGGTAAGTTCTTGGTGTTCTTGGTACTTGATTTGAGGTGCTCTCTTTGCCATACAACATGATGTGCGCATTTATGATCGTATAATTGCTCGGGTTATTATTGCCACCACGCGTTTGTGAACATCACCAGTTCTGTCCTAATCACACGTTTAACTTGTTGATATTTTTGTTACCTCATCAACCTACCTCTGGGCGTTGCTCGTGGCGTCCGTCTAAAAGGTGCATTGTCTAACTTGACTGCGAATCGTATGTATGGTGTATGCACTGCTACTGTCGAATCTACTACTAAACCACTGAAGCCTGGCTCCCCCCCCCAGTGGTCCGGACATGTGCCTTCTGTATTCCCAACTCTTTGTGCCTATTGCCGTAATATTTTAATCCAATTTACGTGCGTGCACCACCTGTTTCGTTAAATTGGTGGGCATCATCATTTGAGCCATCAAAGAATAGGGCCCCTTCAACTATCTCATGTTGTACGCAGTTTATGGTCTTGTTGAAAGACTGACCCTACATTATGGTTTAGTACTCTCCAAGTCCCTTCCCAGGTTCCTCCCTTATTTAACCTAACACCGTGCATTTTTGCTCCATTTGAGAAAGAATATCGGATAATTGTTACCTCCTTACCGGCGCCAGCTTTCCCCCTCCATTGTACATATTGGCTAAAATGTGTAAACCATGATAGGCACCCTCAATATAAACATTTCCCGGATAAGCTGAAGCAACCCATCCGTATGTTTTCACTCACGATTTACTGTTTATTTCTCGATTAATTGCTTCTTGAGTATCAGGCAACTAGTGTGTGTCTCCGAGTAACCCCAAGACTCGAACTACTTACGAATGATAAACGTTACTAACTCATCAAGGAACTTAAAGCAATCGGCTGCAACAGCTTTCCATCCAATCCTGATATCACGAAGAAGTCATCTAAATGATTTCGCCAAACTTTCCTCAAAGCTTTCCAAAGCTTACAACACAAATCTTCCCATGCACAGGTTCACCAGTGTTGATTATGTTGACTGTCCCACAACATAACAAAGTTCTCCGGGGTAAAACCCTGACTGGAGCACACATTATGGTACATTAAGGTGACCGCATCCTCCACCACCTGAACTTACACATGTTTTGTTCTTTCACCTACCTTTCTCCAAAATTAAGCAAAGCGTCGCTATCCCCAAAGATTTCTTCGAGTTCGTCTATGTTTGTCATGATTCACTCAGCTCTGTGATGAATCCCGCTTAACTTTGGGACAATATGCGGGTTTTTCGCAAACGTCCTCCTAAAAGATGCTACGAGTCTTGATAAAGTTGCTAGTTAGCATGCGAGTTCGCATGTCAGCTAGTCTACGTTGTGAAGTATTAGTCGAATAAGAACGTTGGATTTATGTATCTTCGGTCGATCCTGAACTCTAGACAGTGCAGTCGGTTTCGGAACTATGGTGCAAAATTTGCTCATAGTGCGACCTATGCCGGAGTACTACCCAAAAATCCATAATCTCCTGCGTAGAACAGATAGTATAACTCTAGAAAATATACAGTGATCATTCACAAAATGAATGGATGGACACTACTGTTTTGGGCAACGAAGATCGCGGACGCCACTTACAGTTACAATGGAATAATGGTGTATTACGGGTAAAAAATCAAACGTTTAGCAAGTCCCGTGGGGTGACCATAATGAGAACAACAAAACTGGTAAAAAGCAAACATGATGAAATCAAAATACGCGTTTTAGTGAACTCACCATAGTACTTACACAAAGGCATGCGCAAAAGAACCTGTTTCGATTGTGTAGCGTAATGCTGCTTGGTGCACCGCTTTCACGATATATCGTATTTTGATGCGCAGAGGTCAAATTCAGTAATGCGTTTGGGTCAAAGCATCGTCAAGGTGTTATTTAAACACAGATAAAGTGAGGCGAAAACAACATCATTAGTGATGGTATTCAAGGGCTGACATACATATGGCCCACTACCGTCGACTGTGTTCACCCATATGCAATCAACCGGGGTCATTCAATGCATTTGTGCGTGATTTTTGAGCCGCGCACTGCAAACCTTAATTTCACTCAATAGGTCCAGCTGACCTAGTACCCAGTAGTCGGCTAATGTTAAGAGTGCCATACTGATTCCCCACGTAGGAGCAGTGAATCGATGGTGTATTGCGCTAAAATTATAGCTACTAAACAAGTATCTGAGGTGGTCAGAATCAGGAACACAAAAGGGAAAAAAGGAAAAGCGTTTCAGAGTATTTACCATAGTGTGCAAATTAAGACCTGCGTAAAAGAAACTGTTTCGATTTGCAGGCTCATGCTGCTTGGTGCACCGATTTCCCGTTATACCGTGTCTTAATGCGCACAGGCTATATTTCGTAATGTAGTGGGTCAATGCATCGTCAAGGCGTTTTTTGAACACAAATCATATGGGAGCGTAAACAAGGTAGTTTGGGAAGGCTTTCCATGCCTGACACGCACGAGGGAAGTAAAAGTTTCAGCGACATACTAGCCGACTGTAACGCTTGGCCAACTTGAACTAGTGACCCCTCAGGTTGGGTTGTGACTGAGTTGAGGTAGGTGATAACGGACGCGGTTGGGGTTCCTCAGAATCTGGTGGGTCATTATTAGGCCCACATTGACCGCTGTACAATACTAGAGCCCTCAAGTTAAATTGATATGGAAAATGAGACAGTCATTTGATCTGCTTGGTGGCTGCTCGCTGTGCAGTCCCAATCACTACGAGACTTTGCTTATGCTAGGCCTGCCAGGCGTGCATTGCGTATTCCCTATGAGGCCGCACATATGCGTTAAGCATATGTGGGCAGACAGATGGATCAAAAACTCGTACTACCAACCACAGGGGACAAACGTGTTTGTTCCCAACCTCTGATACCTTTTCAGACTGTTCTGAGCAACCCAGATCAAACTCCATTAATTCCCCCAGTTCGCGCTCCTGACTGATTGCTTGCAGGACATGCTTTCTAAGCTTGTGTATGAATTTCGGCTAATGACGAATGTGGAACACCTTACACCTGGACAGATTAAACTAGTGTAGAAGCTGGAGATCACCGCATACGCTCTGTCCAAGTCTCGCAGAAGTGCATCGGGATCTATTTTGTCGGCGATCGTCCGTCACATCTTAACAGCATCAGCGAAAAACAAAAAATCCGAGAAAAGCAAATGCGTAAGCTAATTAATGAACACAAGAAACAGACGCGGTCCCAGAACTGATCCTTGTGCAACCCCACAATCAACGTGAATAGGATCTGACAGCGCACGTCGAACTCTAAGCTGCAATTGCCGATTCTGCAAGAAATTCCCGATCCACCCAAGGACCAGATCCCCAAGTCCATAGTTTTCGAGCCTGTGAAGCAGAATGCACTGGTCTTAGCGGTCGAAGAATTTGGAAAAATCGGGATAAATGACGCCGGTCTCTCCGCCATTGCCAGCCGCTTGGTCTGTTTTTCAACATCATAGGTACCATTTGTTTATACAACAAGGTTTTCAAGAAATGCGATGATGGCTAGGCCTGCGCTGTTGCTGCAACGTTCAGCACCCTCGGGTACAAGTCCTCGATTACAGCAGAAATGTAGGTGAGCATTAAGAGCAGCTCTCTCAACGCATTTTTGATAGTAAAGATGACGTTAGCACATGCTTACTTGTGGCTATGGATCTAGGTATGCAACAGTGGCGGACGGCTCGTTGGAAGGCCAGGGCATACTACATTCGTAGCGCGTTGGACGCTTCTTAGGTGACAACTGCGACTACATTTGTCGTGTTAAGTAGGAGGATAGCGTGGTTCACATGGCGAAAGCAGGCAACATGCACATATTATCGTTTTGTTTATGAAAAATCTGCGAGCCAGATATTGTTGGTCAGCCAATTTATCCTCACGGGCAAACATGTTACAATGGTTGCTCTCGACCACGTAGTTGCTCTAGGTTTCGAAACCATAACGGGCTCTCTAAGCGCCCCATACTGCACTCCTTCTTGACATGGGCGTTTGAGTTCTGCTTCTGATGAACGATGTTGAATTGGTGGAACGAACCCGCTTAGTTTCTGAAACAGGTACGATCAAAGTGTTGGAACTTCCAACACATTATATCCAGGCGTTCCCAGGGATCCAACAATCAAGACGTTCAAATCGGTCATTACAACCAGGTCCGACAGGATGCTGGAGCATGTGATAGCACGAGTTAGTTCCGTTTGTTCTTTCGGATAC